TCAGAGGTGTAAGATTGCCAAGTTAACAGATTGGATTAAAGATTGGACCCAATCCTGTAAACATTGGGTGTGAGAGTTACTCAGTCTATTATCTCTGCTCATTATGGGATTTACTACACGTTTCTCCTGCTTCAAGGCTCCAATCTTACTGAATGAGTTTTCTGAAGTTACAGTAATTTGAAGTTAAAGAGGGGAAAAAAGAAAGCTTTTCCAAAGGTAACTAACTACAGAGGTAACACTAAAAGTGAAATGAAGAACTCTATACCCTGTTTGCCATGTAAGAAAAATTATTTTCTGAAAGTTAGAAGACTCATATATAATGGTGTGTCTTTTACCACAAGTTTTATCTATGTACTACTAACCCATGTGGCTAAATGAAAATCATTGCTGCTGTATGAAGTCAGAATGTAGACCAGTTGTGTGTAATTACTTTTAACTATCCATAAAATCAAGTGGGGAGAAAGAAACAAGGCCATCACAAGTAGATTTAATTTTACAGCATAGTGATATGAATGTGCACAAAAAAAGAACTTGAAGCATCTACAGTTATGAATATACTGCATTTCTGACCCAAATAAAAGTGGAATGGAGGTAAATAAGTCTCCTTTCCTTTGTGGTCACTACAGGGGCAGCTCTCCAGAAGTTTTGTACTATATATTAAAGAATGCATTGAACGATATTGTATTATATGTCAGGTTCGTGGGATGTAGTAGCATCATCAGAATTCCTCTGTAATGGCAGAACTGAATTGGAATAGTTTTTTCATTGATTTTGTATGTATTTTAATGTACTATATTCAGTTATGTGTTCCTTTCAGTGTGTCTGTAATGGAATTTCAAGTAAAAGTTAATTTATTGTGGAAATTAGACTGCTGCATTGGTTACAGCTGAACATGCATAACAAGGTACTTTTAAGATGAAACCTTAAAAAGAAATAACTTGTAAGTCCTACAGGCTTTATAATACTCCTTTTTCTTTCCTATTACCAGAAAAAAAAAGTTAAAAGGTAGGAGTTTCTAGTATGTTCTGACAAGTTCACTGTCTTAAATAAGATACCGTGTTGGCAACCTAGTTCCAAGTTTATTTCCTACTTTTGTTTTATTTTAGGTCCCACACCTGATCCCAGTTGTGATATTTAAGTTGGGAAGACCTTTGGAGCCTGCACTTTACAAGGATATATTGTACACATTGCCTACACTAGGTGTACACAAGGTCAGAATGAAAAATTTTCAGTAAAACAAAAACTGTATCAGTAGTGTCACTTACTTTTTCAGAAGTTACTTAGACTGAGCAACACATAGCTTGCTTAAAATAGCTGATTGGTGAACTTCATAACATTCTGATATTGTGGGTGGGAGATGGCATTTGCTTTAAAGAGTGAAATTCATATTATACTTTCTCTGCACTCTATCACCATTACACACATAGATCATAAGTTAATTTGGACTTGTTATGCATTAAAGTTTTTCAAAACGTTACTTCAGTTTCCTTCTGACATTGCAGTTGTACAGTTCTGTCCTTATTGTACTTGGTTGTAAAAGACTGATTTGTAGATTGGTCTTTGTTCTTGGATATAAGGAATAACACTGACATTTGGTAAAAAAAATTTCTTTCAGGTTTGTGTAGCTCAGATTCTACGTGCCATACACACGCTGGGGAGTGCCCCGAAGCTTAGAGCAATTAGTTTGCGACTGATGACATCTTTATGGGAGAGACAGGTTAGAAAATCCTTGTAGTGTCACTAAGATGAGCATGGTTGAAAAACTTTGTTATCTCTAGCCAAGGAAGGAAATTGAATTTGGAACATTGCTCATACTCTTATCTCATTATCATCACTGTAAAGTAAATGGAAGCGGTGCCTATATTGATTCTGTTTTAGTGAAGATTTTCAATACTGTGTCTTTCATGAAACCTGCTTTTCATTTCATAAGGTCACAGACTGGAATTAGAAGGAAAAAAAATTGTTTGAAGGACAGCTTTCTGCTTTTGATAATGTGCAGTAAGAACAAGGCCTTAGGTACATGGCAATAATTTGCTTCACTTCATAAAGTAGCAATAGAAATTTGGTATGCGAAGGTCAGATCTCAATGCTGCATTAGAGTGCAATAATGAAGAAAAGCAAAGTATAGTATGCAATAAAAGCGGAAATTAGGAGTCATGTGAAAGTGCTCGCATTTGAAAATTCTGTCGCCAACTTCTGAGGTTGTGATGATAATTTTGAAAATAAATCCTTTCTAGGATCGAATTTACCCAGAATTGCAGAAGTTCATGATGATGTCCGATAATCCCTCCTTGTCTGCTGACAAAGATTCTCAATGGGAAAAGCTGATTGCTAAAGCTGCTTGTGTAAGAGATATATGTAGGCAGAGGTACGTGCAAGTGTTATCCATCTTACGACTTTGGAAAGGAAAACAGGATTTTTTTTCCAGAAAAGCTACCTAATTATTTTTGCCTACTCTGTCATATTTATTATGGAATATATTTTTCTAGTTGCATGAGATACTGACTCAGCCATTGCTAATCTCAGCAGCTGCTAAGTTTGTTGTTTTATATTATAACTGATAGAAAGCATATATAAACAATATTAAAGTTAAAATGTCTTCATCCTGAAATAAAACACACATTCTATACTGATCCAGAGTAGAAACTTGAAGCATATCACTTCCAAATTATAAAAAGAGAGTGATGAAACATTAGAAGAAACAACTAATGATCAGTCTGTCTTTTGAACTATTCAAAGATTGAGTGCTTTTCTGAAAAGTGTGTTTTGTCACATGCAAATTACTGGTCAGTTGTTGGATATGATACTGACCATAGACCACAGTTGTAAAAGTCTAACCATGTGTTATATTGATGCTTTCCAGCTCTAACAATCCATGAATATCAGTACTTGATAATAACTTACAGTTCCTGTAAAGATTGATTGTAAACACATTATCAGTTACTTCCTGGTTTTATATGCACAGTACCATCTTTTCTCTTTGTCATGTATCTTTTGTGTTCCACTTTCACTTTCTTTCTTGAAGGTCAGTTGCTAATAGCTGGGAAGACTCATGTATCCTTCAATCATCAACTAAAAAGAAATTCTTAAAGACAATATCCTTTACCTCTTCAACCTTCTTTAATCTTGTAAATAGCATTATTCAAGAAATTAAAACAAAAAAATTTAAATACTGAACAGGAAGAGATAAATCCCAATGCAGCTGTAATATACTTTTTGCCAAATAAGTGGTGTAGTTATGAGTTCAGGTGTATGCATGTTCTTCGTGCATTAAAAATTCTTTGGAAGAAAGAGCAGATAGAGGAAGCCTGAGTGTCCCATGCATATAAATTGCTTAGCCAGGCGCTATTTATCCCAAGTTCTTACAGCAACAGTATGAGAATCAGGAGTTAACACCTCACCCCTCACTGCCTAATAAAACCGAATGGTTACTAAAAGCCAGCAGAGCAAGCAAGCAGCCCATGCAGTCTTTGGAGGAGAGGTGAATGACATTGCAGCAGCAGAAAATTTTGGAAAATGTTCCTATGTAATGTAAGAGGGCTAAAAGTCTCTTACTGACAGAATTTACACCAATACACATAGTGAGTACTTAGAAAAGGCTTCAATAAAGAAGCAAAGACTAGTGTCTTTATTAGCACATCTTGATTTTTCCTTCTCAGTCACTTCTTGAATGATGTAATCTTTCAGCATATGCAACATCCTTAGATGAAAGCTGCCCTAGATTAACCTCTTAGTAGTCTTTTATTTGGAACCTGATGCCTGCTGATTTAATTCTGTGTCACTCAGCCTGTAGAGCGCTCACTCGTGTCCTTCCTTGTATCTTTTTTTTTTTCCCCCCCTCCCGGTTTTAGTTGTCACTTAAAGGAAAACAGTACATAATGAACTTCTGTTTATAGAATAGAACTCAGGTGTATCGTAAATATTGCTGTGTATCTTCATGTTGTTCCCCCTAGGCCATACCAGCATGGAGCAGATATGTTGGCTGCAATTTGCCAGGTATTAAATGAATGCACAAAACCTGATCAAGCGTCACCAGCTGCCATAGCGTTACAGGGTCTGCAGGCACTTTGTGAGGCTGAGGTAAGATTAAATTGGTTTGTCCCTGTGCTTTGTGTTTTTCTTGTGGATCATAGACTTTTTTTTCACAGTTGGCTTTTTTTGAGAGTATATCAGATTGTTGCAGATTATTTTTTTTTCTGGCATGTAATTTTTCTCTTCCCATCTGAGTTAGTTGTTCCTGGGAAATTGTACTGTGAGCTTCTAGTACAGCAGGTCAGCCCTTCGATGCGTGGGTTGATATTTTAGGTCAGCTTCAGCAGTGTGTTTCAGAGACATCCCTGCACGCATTTTTCCTTGAGATTTGAAAAGAATGGCTGTTTTGCACATAATTCTGATTGGCTGTAAAGTATGGGAATCTCACGTTTGATGCCTTGTTACTGGCCTTCCCTGCTGGGTCTCATTCACATAGTGTACCTGATAGGGGTGAAATCACTCGTAATGGGGAGGTGTCCGCTTTACTCTAATGCATTCATTGCTTACCGATGAAGAGGATACGTTAAGCACTGTAACGTGCTGCCCAGAGAGGCTGTGCTGCCTCTAACCTTGGAGGTCTTAACGTTTCCTTTTGGATACAAACCTGAGTAACTGGGTGTGATCTCAGTGACCCTGCTTTGAGCAGGAAAGAGAACTAGAAATATCCTGAGGTCCCTTGCAAGCCGAATTGTTCTGTGATCCTATGATACCCCTGAATTAGGAGCCGAGGCTCTGTTTCCAGAGTGACATCCCCAACGTGGTGATGCAGGCACGGACATGCTGCAAATCTCACTATAGGCAAGGTGTGGACGGTGCAGGCAATCTGAGTTAGTGCACTAATGATACCTTCAGGAATGTTTGACTGCCAGTTCTCTGCCGACCAGCAATTTTGAGTTTATCCGCTACTTCACTTTTAGTGCAGTGTTTACTGCAGTGAAGCCAGTCCAACAAAATCCAGCCATTGCCACATTATACGTTTGAAATCATGTCAGCAGTTCAAGAACAATACAGTAAATGGTTAACAGTCCATAGGTATTAGTATTCAGTGTAGTTAAAAAGTTTCAGACAATGGCTGCTAAGAACCAGCTTATTCAGGGTAATTACTCTGTTAGCTTTTGGTATGGAGTTCAGTTCTTCTAAGGTCACATAGATCCTTTCTTTCAGTGTTGGCCTCAGTAGTTAAGCAGTGTTTTCCCAGCCTGGATTATATTTAGACTTTGTTTCCTGCAAAGATGCAGGAGCTAGGCCTATGAGAAATATCACACCCTACCATAAAAACCTCATTGAAGAACAGATGTACTGTACCACTGTTAAGAAGTGGAAGACGGAGTCAGCTCCAGTTATTCAGGATGGGTGGAAGGAAGGAAAGAATTGCTTTGTAGATGGGTACCGATTTTTCCTTTCCAAATTTTTACAGGCCTTCCTCAGCTTGCTTTGTTTCCCCAGTTTTATGCCAGTGTAATGTTCTGGGAGACCACATCTGTCGCCCAGTTATACTTTATTGTCTTACGGTTTGGTAAACCGGGTAACCATTTAGGTTAAGTAATGCAGTCTGTCGCATGTTTACTATTTAGACTCCAGCTTGCAATGCGAAAACCGTAAAAAGCATAATGATAGAAGTTGATCACAGGGTTTTGTTTTGGTGCTTTCTCTCTCTGCCACTGTCTCAGCAGATAACCATGGGAAAGTCATTTAAACTGAGCTTTTCCACGTACAGCTGCTTACATGAAGGATTTTGAGCATGTAATTTTCAGTGAAACTTCTGCAGCAGTGTGAGAAATTATGTTTTCATATGTATAATGTTGACATTGTTGATGATGGAACCCTATACACCATGTGGTTTTGTCTAAGCTGGCTTCTGAGGGTCTCAGACTCCTTTGTAAAAGTAATACGGTAATAAAATGTAACATTGATTTTTTTTTTTTTTTTGGTCAAATGCTGTAGAAGAATAGTTTTTGAGTTTGTTTATTGCAGTAATTATTTTGTGTAAATATAATGGTTTTACCCATAATACATACTACATGAATAGCATTAGTAGTATTAGCTTAGCTTTTGTCGGTCTTAGAATGAGGGCTACCTGCTTCCCCACACCTGCTGGTTTTTCTGTGGTAGGTACCATAAAAGGCCTTTAATGAACAGTGTTCAGGGACTTGCACGTCAAAAATGTAAAGTCCAATTCTTGCTAGGACACACATTCTATTTCTGAGTAAATATTTTGGTTTGTTTTCAATGATTTCAACAGAGGCCAGTGTACTTCCTATGAGGCCATCTATCTAATTGATTTTGTGTATCAAGTACTGTGTGTAAGCCAAGAAACATTCAGGAATGAACATGCTACGCATGGTATTTAAAACCTCTTTACAAACTTTTTGTCAAGGTGGTTTCTTGCTGTTTATTCCTGCATTTTATTGATCAGAAAGAAACTAGCCTAGCAGAGTAATATAATGATCTGGTAAGTTGTGTGAGAACAAATTATGTTGAGCAAGTTTAACAGTCAGTAGTAATCACAAAGTTGGATCTAGTTTAAACATTGTGCACTTAAAAACTGCTCTTAAAACCTTGGGTTTGTGTTGAGATGTTATCAGAGGATCGCTACTTTCTTCTTGAGCTCGTTTCTACCAATTTTAATTTCTCAAGTTGATTTACTCCTTGTTCCTTTTTCGCCTTGTACATCGTTTGTATCCTTGTACATCGTTAACATTGTAATTTCTATTTGAGCATTTTAACCAGTAGTGTAGGTGCAATTCCTTACCTCTGCAAGTCTGCTGTTGAAGGGAGCTTCCAGGCTGAACTCTTGATCAGTTTTTCCATATACTGAATGAGTGAGTAAAACCAGCTGGCTTGGAACCTTACTGGCTTGTATTCAGTCTGACTGGTCTGGTGAACACCCAGTGTCAGAATATTTGCCATTATTTTACTGCATTTCCCAATCACCTGCTACTGCTCCTAAGTGCTTCTGCCTTCCGCCACACCCCCGCC